TCTGTCCTGGATCCCGTGTGTCGAGACCTCTTTTTTTTTGGTGGGGGGAGACCTCTTATCTGTCCCAGTGTACATGCTCCGGTGTAACCGGCTTTGTAAGATAGAACTAGAGTCGTGGGAATGGGGAGTTTGGGAGGGGGAGCATTAAAGAACTAGAGGAACGTTGTGGGTTTCATAGGTGCTATACTGCACCCTGGCTGGCTCTTCCCTTCCTTGTGACCCTGCTGTGAGACTGTAACTCTTCACCGAAGCGGTTTTGTCCTAAAGAGCAGCTGGTGGTTTCGAACTGCTGACTTTTCATGCAGTGGCAAAAGACATAACCCACTATGCCACCAAGCCTTCTTCACCCCTTCACTGGACACATGCTTATTTAGAATGATAGAAACGGTCATGTCCTGCCTGAGAATGTGGGGGAGTAATCCCACCATCAGGTGGTGGCAGGGTGTCAATGACTGAAAGTCTGTTGGGAAAGGGAGCCAGATGAGAGGGGGCCAAGAAAAGTCAGTGTGCTGGCCCTTGGGAGCCGAGGCACTCTGGTCATGCGACAGTAAAGCCGTGGCCGCCCATCTAAAGGTCAGCCACTTGAACCCACCCGGTGATCTGCCCCCCGCAGAGAAGACAGCGTAGCACCCTCACCCCACCAGTTATCGTGGGTCACAGGGCACTCCTGAGACTCAGAGCACCCACAGCAGGAGAGTGGTGGAACCAGCCCTTCCACGTCCAGCCTCTGGTCCGCCAAGGACGTCTGTGCCCGGAGGGGTCTGGGCAGGGCACGCCCGGCCACCCACCAGCCCCATTGCCAGCTGCTCTTGCTTGTAAAAGTGCTGTAGGGCCGGCAGACGCCCTGGCCTCACAACCAGCACCTTGTTTAGCAGTGGGAGGGCGTGCTCGGTGCCGCACAGGCTGCGGCGGGCTCTGCGGTAAGGACCGATTTACCAGGCTGGAACATTCCCTGGGTTCATTGTTCCACGTGGAAAAGCATTGCGCATCGCTGGGCCTGCACCGCGATCCCCTTGTGCCCGCGAACCTAGGGGTGTGCGAGTACCGACACGCAGAAAGGCCTGGGAGTATATTCCACGCAGCTGCTTGCCAGCGCCCATGGGCAGAGATAAACAGCCCGGTGAGGCTGCGAGAGGGGAGAGAGAACATCTTTGCGCTGCCCTATTGTTTGAACCGCAAGCCCCAGAGGCGTGGTAGGTTCCGAACGGGGCCTCCAGGTCAGCAGTTTGAAACCACTAGCCGCTCCCTGCTCCCCGGGAGAAAATCGAGGCTTTCTTCTCCCGCACAGTCCTGGCCTCGGAAACTCACAGGGGCGGTTCTGCCCTGTCCTGGAGGGCAGAGAACTGAGCTGTTGGAACAAAGAGAGGAAGGCCTTCCAGGAGATGGACCAGCTGGGCGACGGCCGTCACCGGCTCAACCGGAACAATTGGGAGGATGGGGCAGAGCCGGGGCAGAGTCTGGTTCGGCTGTACCTGGGGCCACTGTGGGTCGGGGATCACTCAAAGGCTCCTAACCCCAACAGCGTCGTGGACCTGGAGGTGCCACCAATGAACGGAAGGGCACCCTGTTTCAACCCGCACCGCAGACTCACAGAAGAAAGGCCCGGCAAACTGCTTCCACAAAGATTTGAGCCAAGGAAGGCCCTGGGTCAGGACTGACTGCCGCACAACACACGGGTGGGGTGGGAGGGGGTCGCCGAACGTTGGAATCAGCTCGATGCTGAGCGGCTCGCGGCAGCATTGCCAGGCTAAGAGCAGGAAGGAAGGCCTGGTGGTCGACTTCTGACCACCAGGGACTGAACCGATGGGTCCTCGTGGTCTGATCCTGGTGTGTGGGCCTGTGGTTTCCCGGGAGCCA